AAAAAAAAAAAAAAAAAAAAGCCAAAATAAGGGCTGGTCAAATAGCTCAGCAGATTAAAGCCCCTGCAAGTAGGCTCAGGGCTGCCCCCAGGGAGATGTGTTGGGCAATTGAGACTGGGTGTGATGACTCATGCCTGTAATCACAGCTCTTGGGTGGCTGTAAACAGGCGAATCACTAAGAGTTGGATCTAGTAGTGAGACCCTGAACACCCTGTAGACCCTGCCCTAAAATACAGGGAAAAAAAAAAAAGAAAAAAAGAAAAAAAGCCAAAAAACCAAAACAAACTGTGTATGTGAATAATGCATTATGAAAATTCCCAAGCATACAGAAAACAATTGTAAAGTGAATTCTCCATATATCCACCCACTAGATTTTTTAAAAAAAAAATTACTCAACACTGACATATTTTTTTTTTCTTTTTTTTGTATTTTAGGGAAGGGTTTACAGGATGTTCAAGGTCTCACTACTAGATCGGACTCGTAGTGATCTGCCTGTTTACAGCCTCCCAAGAGCTGGGATTTCAGGTGCGCACCACCATGACCAGTCTCAATTGCAGCTCAGAGGGCCCTGGGGGCGGGGCCAGCACAGCAGGTCAGGATTGAGCCCCGGCCCTTGCGCCTGCTTGCAGGTGCTGTAATCTGCTGAGTACTTGGCCGGCCCTAACACTGACGTGTTTTCTTAAGTTTATCATTTTTACGAAACAAAGCAAAAAGCAGGCAACAAAAACAGCAAAGAGTTTATAGAATTTCTTTTTTTTTTTTAAATTTTTATTTATTTATATGTGTGTGTGTGGCCAGCTCAGCCCACCAGGGGGTGGGCTGGCTGGCATGTGGTGCTGGGGGACTGAACCGCGGTCCCTGTGCTTTGCTAACCTTGTTCTAAGTAGGTGCTTTAGACCACTGAGCCATCTCACCAGCCCAAGTTTATAGAATTTCTGTACCAGTCTTCACGTAAGTCAATGATTATGAAACTGGTGTCCAACATAGATACTAGACACAGGCTGATTTCCCTCTTGGTCATAAGCATCAGGTAGTTTATTCTAGAAACACTGAATACTAACAATTTCTTACAACTTCTTACAAGCACCAGTCATTTTTGAGGACCAATTTGGTTTGTCCAACAAAGTAGACCATGTTTTGCTGCGTGGCACTTTCTTTTTTTAAAAACACGGAGCTGAAGGGCCAGTCAAATAGCTCAACAGACTAATGCGCTGGTGTAGGTAGGCAGGGGCCGGGGGCTCAGGGGTTCGATTCCCCAGCCTGCTGTGCCGTCCCTGCCCCTGGGGTCACTGAGACAGTGATTGAGACTGGGCGTGGTGGTGTGCACCTGTAATCCCAACACTTGGGAAGCTGAAAACAGGATCACTACAAATCTCATCTGTGTAGTGAGACCCTGTAGATCCCATACTAAATACATAAAAAAAGATTAAATGGCACATGAAATACTTGTCATATACCAACCTTATCATATGATTTTACAGTTAACATTTTATTATGTTTTCTTTATCACATGTCTATTATTCCTGCCTCCATTGATCAATCCCTCCTCTTTTTCTTTGCTTTCTTCTCAGTGCCAGGTAGAACCCAGGGCCTCACGAGTAGCAAGCGAGCACTCAGCCAATAAGCCATGGCCCAGCCCTCTTCCTCTGTCTTACACTTCCATGCAAGGTGAGTTGTAGGTGTCAGATATTTTTAACTCAAGTGCATCACTTTTAATGCTTTTTTGAAAAGACAACCTGCTTGTAATTTTTTTTTTTAAATTTTTTTATTTGTGTGTGTGTGTGTGTGTGTGTGTGTGGCCAGCTCAGTCCACCAGGGGGCGGGGCTGGCTGGCATGTGGTGCTGGGGGATTGAACCGCAGTCCCTGTGCTTTGCTAAGCTTGTTCTAAGTAGGTGCTTCAGACCACTGAGCCATCTCACCAGCCCCGCTGCTTGTAATTTTTAAGCAAGCTGTTAAAATTGTTCCTTTACCACTCCAAAGGAGAAGCTTGATAAAATATCTTCCCTCCATATCTTTTGTAGTTGACCAGTTTAGAAACTAGAAAATATTACAAGGATGGGCTAGGGCTGGGAGTGGAGAGCAACGGTACAGCACTTCTCTAGTGAGCCCTAGGCCCTCTGTTCAACCCCCAGTATCAAAAAAGAAAAAGAGGGGTGAAAAGGAGAGAGCTAATATCCATTGGAGAACTCTTATGCCTATATCTTGTACTCTATAGCAATATGCAATGTATTAACTCGTTATTTAATATTTTGTTATGAAATTGTCTTACCTTTTACCATAAAATTAAAAAAATATATTGAAAATAAAGTAGAAAGAGAATTGTTTAGAAATGTCTACTTTGCCTGGTAGAGTGGTACATGCCTATAATCTCAATTACCTGAGAGGCTGAGACAGGAGGATTGCAAGTGTGAAGCCATCTTGGACAGTGCAGAGACCCTGTCTCAAAATAAAACAATAAAACGTTCAGTGACGTAGGGGTTGCCTAGTATGTGTGAGGCCTTGGGTTCAATCTCCAGCACCATAAAATGAATAAATTTAATTTCACAAATTTAAAAGTGATCACTTTTTTTTTTTTTTTTTTTGGTGGAACCGGGGTTTTGAACTCATGTCCTTGTGCTTGCCAGGCAAGTGCTTATTCTACCAAACCATTTCCCTGGCCCCAAAAGTGATCACTTTTCATCAGTACTATCAACTAATCTCCAACAGTAGTATCTGCTGAGTGAATAAACCTTTGAGAGACAGGATCTACAGCAAAGTTTCACTCTGGCACCACTGACATTTAGGGCTGAATCATTCTTTGTTGTAGGGATTGTTTTATGCACCGTAAAACAATCTTAGCACCATCACTCGACTTCACCCACTAGATGCCCATAGTACGCCCCCCATCCCCAGTGGTAAAATCCAAAACACAAGACTATCTCCCCCTCAAAAAGGAATGTCTCCCAATTATACCAACTTCACATAAAAATAGAATTGTACAGTGACTCCTACATGTACCCACCACTAGCTTTTTAGCTTTTACAATATCTTTCACATTTTTCATTTTCATTGTGTCTACCCTCTTTCCATTAATCCCTCTGTTATTCTTTTAATCATGTCTATCTACAGTGGGACTTTTTTTTTTTTTGGCGGAACCAGGGATTGAACTCCAGCCCTTGTGCTTGCCAGGGCAGCGCTTATTCTACTGAGCCATCTCCCCACCCCCATCATGTCTATTTACAAGTGAGACAAATATATTAAAGTCACAAAAGGAGAGCTAGATCAGAGGCTTAAGTGTCTGCCTGGCAAGCTCAAGGTCCTGAGTTCAATCCCTGGTACCAAAAATAAAGTTACACAAAGATGGGATGATTTTTTCCCCTCTAGGGGCAAAATTTCTCCACTTAAAAACCAATGACTAAGAGACTGAGTTTCTTCATAGAACACTGCCTTCCCAGGGGATCACTGTGAGTTTGAGGGCAGCCTGGGCTACATAGTGAAAACCTATCTATCTCAAAAAAGAAAGAAAGAAAGAAAGAAAGAAAGAAAGAAAGAAAGAAAGAAAGAAAGAAAGAAAGAAAGAAAGAAAGAGCGAGCGAGCTCTCAGGGAATGTTACAAAGTGAAAACACAGAGGCTTCTGGTGGCACCTGCCTGCCATCCCCAAAATTCGGTAGGCTGAGCCAGAAGAATCACAAGTTGCTGCCCAGCCTGGGCAACTTCCTGATTTAGCGAGATTCTAAACGGGCTAGAGAGGCAGCTCAGTGCAAAGGCCCTGGGAGCAATGCCCAGTCCTGAGGGGAAGGAAAGCCCTGTGTTGAATTCCTAGCAATATAAAAACAAAGCAAAATAAATAGGATTTAGTTTACCCTCTAGCATAATTATCTCTGTGACAAAATCCTTTAATTTCTGAGCTTCCAGTTTCAAATTGATAATTAAACGTTATTAAATTGGAAAAAATATTTTCCAATATTGGACTCCCAATTCGAATACACACCTGTATTCAAGCCAACCTAAGCTACTATACATAGTGAGGCCCTTTCTCAAAGAAAAAAGACCCTCCAAAAGGCTTGGGTAGCCCCACACGTACAGCATCTGTAGCACCACTGGTGGTATAGCCCTTGTGGCTATGTTCTTGGGCTGGCTATATTCAATTCTTGTAGGTTTCCTCAGACATTCCACACTCCCAGTTTTTCACTTCTCCAACTTCCTGGGGTCTCCACTGAATTTCTGGTTTCATTTTCCCAGCTTCCCGCACTGCCCCCTCAATGCACACTACTTGACATCTCTGGCTTTTTTTCTGGAATAAGTATTCTGCATGTTCATAAAACCAGCACCATATGGATGACACCAAGGTCTGCTGCCACAACAGCTGTAACCAGGCCTTTCTGCACCATGGATGCAGAGGAAGCTGAGTGCCAAGAGGGCTGAGCAGGTTGAACCAAATCCTGGGGAAGCAATTCCCTAGGCAGCCCTTCTCCAGAAGAGGATTCCTGGGTTCTCTTTCCAAAGCAAGGTCTTTCATGCAGGTCAAAGACTGACTCTTGCAGTTTCCCCCATACCCTCAATGTGGCCTTCCTATTGTACTTTTCTTCTTTCAGTTTTTTTAAGACAGAGACTCACTATGTAGTGCAGGCTGGCTTTGCACTCACTCATATAGCCCCGAACAGCCTTGAACTCACAGTGATCCTCCCGCCTCAACCTTCTGAGGAGCTGGGATTATAGGCATGCAGGGATTGTAGGCCTTTACCAACACACCTGGTTTTGATTTTCTTTTAAACACTAATCTTTTTATTTTTATTCACTTTTTTTTTTTTTGCGGAACTGGGGATTGAACTCGGGCCCTTGTGCTTGCCAGGGAAGCACTTATTCTACTGAGCCATCTCCCCGGCCCCAACACTAATCTTTTTAGCAGTTATACTCACTTCCTAACATCAAGCCAGCTATAATGCCCATATAATTCAATCACCTCCCAAATTACCTGTTTGTGATCACTTGAGGTTTTAGGGAGATATCTAGATATAAACCATAATAGTGTCTTTCAAAATTACAAGTACATATTTTAAAAAATATTTTATTATTATTTTTAATGTATTTGGTACGGGGTCTCATTGAGCAGCTCAGACTCATAGCAATCCTCCTGTTTTCAGCCTCCCCAGCGCTGAGATTACAGATGTGCACCACCATGCCTGGGCTCAGTGGCCTGCTCAGCGCACCCGGGGGTTGGGTCAGCTCAGGGCATGTGGTGCCGGGGATCAAACCCCAATCCCTGCACTTGCCTAAACAGTTGCTCAGTCCACTGAGCTATCTCACTGGCCCTAATTTTAATTTTAGAATTACTTTAAATTTATTAAAAAGCTATATATCTTTTATTCAGCTATGAGACACTTGTCACAAAGCTTAATATGGAGACAATACAATTAACTCTACTACAGATTTTATTTGGAGTTTACAAACTTTTCTAATTTCCTTTTAAAAAAATAAATTGTACACAGAATAATTTTAGATGTACCAAAAAATGCAGATAGAATAGACTTCCCAGAAACCTTCACTCAGTTTTCTCAAATATTAACCAATAGTAGCACATTATGCACTACCATGGCGTATTTGTAAAAAATAAAGACTACAAATAGGGCCTGGGAGATGGCTCAGAGGCTTAAGAGCCTATCTGGCAAGTGCAAGGTCCTGAGTTCGATCCCTGGTACCAAAAGAAAAATAAATAAAGCCAAGTCTACGACAAATACCAGTACTTTTTTTTTTTTTTAATATAGTATTCCATTGTATGGATAAATCAGACTTTGTTGATACAATGGTTAACCAAGACATTTGAATTGTTCCCATTTGTTGACTATTATGAACAGTGCTTCTGGGCACGATGTATAGGAATACAGAGGAATAGTCCTGTATTCCTTTTTTTTTTTTTTTTTTTGGTGGTACCGAGGATTGAACTCAGGACCTTGCACTTGCCAGGCAAGCACTTATTCTACTGAGCTATCTCCCCGGCCCTAGTCCTGTATTCCTGAGGCAGGATGACTGGCTGTTTGAACCCAGCCTGGGCAACTTGATGAAATCTTATCTCAAAATAAATATACACAGCTGGGCACGGTGGAGCACGGCTGTAATCCCAGCACTCAGGAGGTTGAGGCAGGAGGATCACTGTGAGTTTGAGACCAGCCTGGGATACAAAGTGAACTCTGAGCTGCATAGCAAGACCCTGTCTCAAAAAGACAAAAATAAATTAAAATAGAATATAAATAAAGGGCAGGGAAGGTAGCTTAGTGTGAAGGTCTTGAACAACAACAAAAAAGACCAAAAAAAAAAAAAAAGTGTTGGTGAGAACATTAACATACAGGGCCAGGGAGATAGCTGACCCGTATAAGCACCTGCCTGGCAAGCACAAGGTCCTCAGTTCGATTCCCAATGCCAAAAAACATTAACCTATAACTCAGGGCCGACGAGATGGCTCAGTAGAATAAGCGCTTGCCTGGCAAGCACAAGGGCCTCAGTTCAATCCCTGGTTCCGCAAAAAAAGTAAGTAAAATAAAGATGTCCATAATTGCAAAAGAACAAGAACAGTGTAAGAGCTTATCAGTAAAGAACTAAGGGTCACATATAGTAAGTAGCACATCCCCTAAGCCCTGAATTCGGGGAGACTGAGGCAGGAAGATCACAAACTCAGCCCAGCCTGGGCTTACTGATTTAGCAAGACCGTGTAGTTCAGCATGAAGGTCCTGGGTTCATTCCCCAGTAAAGGGGTGGAGGGGGGAGTATGTGAAGAAGCAGCTGTAGTATTTTGTGTATAATATGCTCCTTAGTTTTAATAAAACACCGAGATGTAGGGTAAATGCTTAAATTAAAAAAAAAAAAACCTGCAATAAAAGATACATTGCCAAAAACAATGGGATAAGTGTATATGAAGCAAAGGGGGGATACTTTGAGCACTTTTAGTGTCTTTTACTATAATAAATTTAAACACTGAGTTTTTTTTTTTTTTTTTTTAATTTCTTCCTCCTTCCCTACGCGCCTCCCTCCCTGTACATATGAATCTGTTGCCTCAGTGGTGATTCTGGACTTGGGAAACACAGTGATGGTGGAAGGACGATTTGTATTTCACCATTTTGTACTATTCGAATTCTGACGCGTACTAGTACAGACTATATCGAAAGCATAAACAACACAGCTTGTAAAGAACTTGTCCTTGAACATGGAAAACCCATGGGGCCGGGGAGATGGCTCAGTAGAATAAGCGCTTGCCCGGCAAGCGCACTGGCCTGAGTTCAATCCCTGGTTCCGCCAAAAAAAAAGAAAGAAAATAAAAAAGCCTCTTGGCCTGTTTATGAAAAGTCACCCCAGCAAGAGGACTGGGGTTGGGGAGTTCCAAGGCTAGCCTGGTCTACACAGCCAAACCTTGTTTCAAAAGAGCAAAGCAAAACAAGT